TCCCCACTGCTCTCGCCGGAGATAACCTCGAACTCCCCACTGCTCTCGCCGGTTCTCTCCTCCTCTCTGCTCTTCGTCCCGCTTGAACCGGTGTTCATCCTCTTCGCCTCTTCGTCTCGCTTGAGCAGGTAATAAGACTTCCCTTTCCAATCTATATGCTTGGTGGTTGTAGCTTGAATCTTTGAAGTAAGAGGCTAGAAAGAAATTTTAGAAGAAAAACTAGAGAAATTGCCAACTGAATCTAGGATGATACTTGAGAAATTGAAGCAGGATCCAGAGTTGTCATATTTGAGAGTAACTAAAATAATTGATGTTTTCTTCAGAGGCTTGACCTAGATAAAGAATTACCCTGAATCAGAAACTCACAGGCTCTGGTTGAAGCAGCTRTACTATTGCCTGATATGGAACAGTAATCTGTTAATACCAGATAATTCTTACAACCGATCATCCAATAATATAGGATCTGACTAGAAATATCAATTGTTACCCTCCTACCATCAATCATCAAGAGTATATGTTTAACAAATGAAAGAGATTTGGTGATTAAAAAAAAAATGTAACTCCAAATCCTACAAACCAAACAGAGGAATGGATTTCAAATCAAATCCAAATCCTACAAACCAAACAGAGGAATGGATTTCAAATCAAATCCAAATCCTGCAAACCAAACACAGGAATGGATTTTAAATCCAATCCAATCCAAATCCCATGAAATCCAAATCCCTTCAGGAATCCAAATCCCTCAAAAACATTCCTGCAAACCAAACGCACCCTAAGGGTTTTCGTGAGACCCGTAAGACCAATTCTCAACCCTTGGATTAGATCTACAATTTGAACATTCATAAACGCCATGAGACTTCTCAATAATCACACAAAATGGCCACCATGCAACTTTAGACTATTAGATCATTAGCTTATAAAGTTGATCAATGAACATAAATTGGTCTTACGGGTCTCACGAAAAACTCTTGGTCTCACGTGAAGCCAACCATATATATATAGAGAGAGAGGAGCGATCAAATGAAAACCACTCTCATATGTACAAACCGTACAAACCACCCTCATACGTCGATTTCATTATTTAATCTTATGAAATTTTTTCATGAAATTGTTTAATCTTGCGAAATTGTTTCATATAATACTTTTTTTGATGAATTTGTTTCATATATGGTTATAAAATTGTTTCATATAATATTTAATTAAATTTTAATGAAACTATTTCATGTATTTCTCTAAAATTAAAATAATGAAGATGATAATATCCATGATTAACACCCCTCCAGGCCCCCACAATAAAAATGGTTAATCAACCTCTCATAATTACAAAAAAAATGAACAAAATGAAAAATTATGATTGGTTGAATGTGGTTT